AAAAAAAAAAAACACGCCGCCCAGGATCGGACGAGATCGTGTATCGGATCGGGGACCAATTTCTTTTCGTTTTCAAAGATTTAAAATTCAATTCTTTTACGAGAACTAATGTACACAATCGTGAGAATTCCGTGCACCGCGTGTATTTTTCCTACGCGTCGGTTTTGCCCCCTGTAAAAAAACATACGCCGCATAGAAAAGAATTGGAATAGTTATAATCCTCGATTCTAAACATTAAAAATTCAATTTTTTAAATCTGTTACGTATGCACAAAATTTCATACAATATACATGCAATATTTTTCTTGCATCCGTATTGTCGGTAGCTGCACTCAAAAAATGAATAACTGACTCGTGAATAACTGAAAAATTTGTTTATTGTTTCTAACTTTTCGTGTAATCTAATCATTTTAAATAAATATTATTCATTAACTCTGAATACGTAAACGCGAAAGCAATCTATGTTGAGATGTATGTTAACATTTATAAAAAAAATTATATATTTTAGAGATCTCATATTTAAATTAAAGTTTCATCAGAGAATTTCAAATGAATAGAAAGATTTGCTGAAAAGAGAGAGAGTTAGCACAGTTTTATTTTAACATAGAATTAATTAATACGCGTTAATATATTTGTAATCAAACAATATTAATTTAATAGAACAAATTTAATTCAAATTCACTGAATAAGAAAATATAATTCAAATTAATTAACGTTATTATATTAACGTTGTCTTTTAATTTATAATCAAATATCTATTCAATAAAACAATGTCGAATCACGTGATCAAATAAAATTAATCAATATCTGTTAAATAATAATCAAGTGATCGATTCAAAACAGTTAGTTCTCTCCTTGATCTAATATTTATATGGCTTCTTCTGCGAATTATAAAGTATTAGTTTGCGCGTTAAGAATAATGAGATATGTGGGAAAATATATGTATACGTATGCACATTTCATTGTTATTTATACATGTGTGTGAACATTCAGTATTACTGCATTACTTTTCTTGTTCTACATTCACCGCTGAGCACCGTCGTACGGTTCATTCATGTAACACGTTCGATCTAAGCGAAGAGAGCCTTCGGGCACTATTTAGAGCCACTTCACTAATTCGTTTCTGATCGAAATCGATCAGACGCTCAACTCCGCAGATTAACTCCGTTGTCCCGATTTATTGTCAAGATTTTTTTTTTTTCCGAGTCTCCCTCCGAATATAGAAATTGCGAGTATACTTCTTTTTTTTCTCTCCCAATTCTCTCCCAACCGTGAAATGGCATTGGCTAATTCCTGGTGCCGTGCTAAAAAAGATAGCATTTTTATCTGCGACAAGTGCAACTCCTTAGCGATAAGTATTCGACAAGCCCGATACGATGCGATAGCAATGCTCGTAGGAATGCTCGTCGAGATGCGTCGCGCCAAAATCGATCTATCCGAACCAGGTCAGCTGCTGAGGTCTCCATCCCACGCTGTGCCGTGAGCTAAAAATCAAGTTAAGCAAAACAGAGAAGAGCGTGGCTTACTGGGATCATTCATGCTCGAAAAAGATAACCGAGATACGAGAGAGAGAGAAAAAAACAAAACGCTTATTCGTTTTGCTTAAATGTTTGCGATTCTTAATGAGGATTGCGGAGCCTGTGCGGTGCCTTTACGATCCTCGTTTCAGACAGAAGTTACTCGACTCGAATATTATGGAGCGTTAAAGCGTTAAATTTTTTTACATCCCGGTTTAAAGGTGGCAAAATGCAATTTCCCGCACTCCGCAATCCTGTAAAAAAAAAAAAAAAAAAATTTAGTGATTAAGAGAGATGTTGCAAAGATGGGCAGTTATTTCTTCTCACGTGTCAGTGAATTCGAATAGTGCCAATTGTAGACTTGAAGATATACAATGACGTAGATAAACTGTGAAGATTTTTCACACTTCCCACACCTCTCGTGCTTTCTTTGTAATACGCAAACGAACTATTGTCCTTATTCTCCGCACTTACAGAATTCCCTTTCGTTCCCATTTGCGGTCTTAGAGTTCGACATAATAGCGAAGTCCAATCCCTTTTTTTTTCTTTTTCTTTTTTTTTTCCTCTTCTGAAAAACTCGCGAACTTCATAGAGAATTCCACGCTTAATCTCTTCCCAGCTTCAAAATTAGTTTTCGCGAATTCTTGGAGAAAGGTGGGCGTTAAGGGAACGTCGTATTGAATACTTCCATTCTTGAGTGGAAGCATTCGGATTTCGGACATCGGGCGTCCGCTGCTCGTTTCGTTCGATCGTCACGTAAATCGAAGATGCTCTCTCCGGCATACAAATACCGATGGCAAATTCCGAGTGCAAGTTCCGATCACGACATTCCCGCACGTATCTGCCCGCGGTTTCTTTTTCCCGATCCGCGCGTTTCGTTAGGGGACGAGACTTCTCGGTGAGCGAGAAGAGTTCATTCTATTGACGGACGATGACGACGTCGCAGTAGGAGTGCTGTTCCGAGGAATGTGGCGCACTTGTCTGTCCGTTATCTGTCTTCAAGATATAGCTCGTATAGAACGCCTCGGATACTCGCGTACTCTCTCGGTCGGTCTCCCGGAGAAACTCGCCTCAAGGCCGCCGCCGTTTTGTAACGCGTGCCGTGAAGCGGCTCGTCACGGGCCGCAAGGATGCTTGCTACAAGAGGGTTGCGATAACGATGCCGTCCTGGGGACCGCTATTCTCACGCCGGGAGTCTGGAAAGCGTGGGGAGATGTCCGAGATTGTTGCACGGCGCTTCCACAATTGTGCCGGTCCATCTGCGCACGGCGAGCACGGCGAGCACGGCGAGCATAGCGTGAGAGTTAACGTTCGCCAAATGTCCCTTCGCACACTTGTCCCGATTGCTTCACTTTCCAGATTCTACGTGTGTACGAACGGGAATTATCTATATAACGCAATCGCCGCCCCGAGTCTCTCTCTCTCTCTCGCCCGGATGTCGATCATCAGCAGTTTGATCTAGCTTGAACCGTAATCGACGACGAAATCGTTGCAATTCCTTGGCGGTCTTTGTTAACAATTATAAATCGTCGTGTTGAAGAGTGTGCCAACGGAGATTAAACGAGAGTCAGATTTTTACAACGTTAATTGTTAAACAGTTGCTTTTCAATTAATTAAACGTATTTTATCTTAACAGTCAGTTCCTCAATTAATTCATCGAGGAATATCAGAGCAAAGAGATTCGAAGATTTTGATAAGATTTTCCGCTAAAGAGAACTGTTTCTAACTTAGCCTGCTGCTGTTGCCGCTGTTGCAACGGTGAAACATTAGTGAAATCACAGTTTACGCGAGCTACATGCTGCGTCTCCCGACAGATGGTATTCTTGATGGATGACGCTACTGATCCTCGGTACGCGCCATTTACGTCACTGTTTCTCTCTCGCGGGAGAGAAACGATACTTAATTAATGGCGCACTTCGATAGTGATTCATGAAACGAGTGAAAGGTTCTCCGTGAGTTCTTTCTGAAGAACCGATTAGCGTACACAACGGAGACAGACCCGACGTAACGACGAGACGAGGCAATTGCGATCCGCAAGGACGTTCGCTATATGAGGATCCATTTTTCCCTGACCTTTTTATGGCATTTGCTGTCACGATCATTAGCACTCTAACTTGCAGCGAAAATTAAATGTCAGGACATCGTAAAGGATCGAAAACCCATCTTGCCATAATCTCAAGGATATTTAATCCTCACGTATATATAGAATGATATAGAATGAAATTGCAGAAAATAAATGGTTATTATTTTGTAATATTGTACGGAACATTACATCTTTGACACGAGTAGATTAAACATTATGGGAGAAACTTGTTATCTTTATTAACATATAAACTTGTAAAAATAAAAAAAAGGCAATTTGGACTAAAAGCATATATATGTTTTTGAAATGATGATTATTTAAACATATTATATATTCAATAATTCTAATACTTTCAATAATTAAATTATTAAATATTCTTTCTAAAATTATTAACTATATTTAATTACTGTAATAATTAATAATTATATTTAGTGATTAATTCTATAAGTTTCTTTCATGAAAATGAAAACTTATGCAAAAATTTTTTAAATATATATATATCAAGCTATTATCAAATGAATTTTCAGCTCTTCATATCTACATTTTTATAAATTCATAGCTATATTTTTTACATAATGCTAATAAAAATGACGATTTTTTTGTCATAAGATAGAAATTCATTTCATTCTGTCCATTTAAAAAACAAGTTATTTAATTTCAAGCAATTTTTCCTACTGTCATTCTGTAGATTCGTTTTATACGAACTTATCGAGTGAAAATTTCATCGGATGTTTAATTCAACAAAATGTAACTTGTCAATGTAGTTGTTAGCGATCTAA